TTAAGTCAAATCAACATGTAACGCTTATGCCTGAAGCAGGGGCGCAGAATGGATTACCAAATCTTATTTCTCTTTCCTTTCTTCCCAACTTGTTATTTTCCAGGCTGGCCTTACCCTTAGACAGAGAAGAGGGTGAATTTGTAACCATTGCTGATGAGGGTGGCGAGGGAGAGAACAGATGGAAAGGCAGAATGCCCCTCCCCAGGAATTCTCTCTAAATTCTTGGACTATTCCCATTTTCTTGAATAAAGGTGTGTCAAAAAATAAAGATGGTGCCCATGATAACGCTCCACCCCGGTGTTTGTTTATTGCTAGTCCTGGTTGCATCATCTGGTTCTTTTCTTCCAAAATACCACAAAATCTAGAGCAATGTTTCCCAATGTTTACCATTTTAAAATGTGTTGACTTCAACTCCCAGCATACTTCAGCCAACAACGCTGTCTGGGATATTCTGGGATTTGAAGTCCAGACATCTTAAAATGGCTAAGGTTGGGGAAAAACAAACACTGCTCTAATCTCGGACCCTTATAAAGAATTAATCTGTTCTGTTCTTGGTCACAAATGGAATAACTGGGGGGAAAAAATCTCAGGCTAAGAATTTGGCAGAAGGACTAGGAATGGTTCTCATCTTGCACCAAGCCATGAAGTTGGGCTTCTTGTGGTTGAACCATTCAGTGGCGCAGTGTTTACAGTGCTGTATTGCAGACCACTTCTGCTGACTACCGGCTGCCTGCAATTTGGCAGTTCAAATCCCTCCAGACTCAAGGTTGATCCAGCCTTTCCATCCTTCCGAGGTGGGTAAAATAAGGAAAATTGTTGGGGGCAAGAGGCCGCCTCTGTAAACCGCCTAGAGAGGGCTGTAAAGCACTGTAAAGTGATATATAAGTCTAAGTGCTATTGCTATTGTTGGTAAGTTACGGTAGGAAACTGTAAGTGGTAAATCATAGCTGAATTCACCCCGTGTGCTAAGCTTCACCCATTCTGGCATAATACAAGTGAGCCTTGTCTGACTCAGCGGTTTATTATAGCAGTGGGATGTGGGAGAAGTTGTCAGCCTATCTGATGAAGCCACAACTGGACACCTGGAGGAGGATGTGGAGGTGGTATTAGATCAATTGTGAATTCCCCCTTTGATGCTGAAAACAATTTCTAAGCCAAGCATTGAATCAGACATTCCCTTGTAATTCGAGATTCACTAGAACGTACCTCAAATAGACACTAATAACACAGAGAAGAAAGGCTACAGAGTCTTGCTTCTGGGCAGAGAAGCCAAGATAAAGTCACATGTGCCATGATATCATCATGCAAATTGTGTGATGGTTGACAACCTTTGCATAATTTATGTCCTCTGCAATTATTCCATGCCTACCCAATACACTTTCCCCTGTTCACTGTAGACGTCTGTGTATTCAAATAGTGTTGATCAACAGACCTTGTAGTGTTAGCTTCACAAATATCACAAGCCACTTTGTCACCTCCAAAATTGTTTTTGTCCTAATATTATTTTCTACAAGGCAAGAGTTTTCCAAAAAAGCCATTCTTAAAATTAATTCTTGTTTTGTAAAAGCTTGATAACTGGTCACAAATTTATGTAGGTTTACCATGATCTATATTAAGATAATATAGATAAAATAAAATAAAAATCTAAGCCAAAGCCATAAAAGCATGAGGGGGAAAAGACAAGGAAAAGTAGGATTGAAAAAATAAATCTAGAAAAAGAAAGACAACTCTGCAATCTCTCAAAATTGTTCAAGATTTAGCAGTCTAGAAATGGGCTATATTCTGAAAATTAGGCTTATCTCTCCGGCTTTAGTTTAAATTAATGTTTTATTTTTAAACACTGTTTCAAACACTTTCAAACACAGTTGGCTGGAGAATTCTGGGAATTAAAATCTACACATCTTTAAGTTGCCACGTTTGAAAAAGACTAGTTGAAATTCAATAGTGGATTTTATGCAATGTTTTTTTTTCCGGATAGCTTCTGTGTTTTGGTAATGGTTTTATTGTATGCCACCTGAAGTCAATCTAGAGTTGGAAAGCCTTACATGTTTAATAAAATAAATACATTTATGATGTCAGCTTTGTTTGGGCTTGGAAAGTAAACATGTGTGCACCTTATAAGAGGCCATTGGCAAATCCAGGGCGTAAACTAGAAGTTGCAGTCAAAAAACTTCTGGAGAAGAGAATCCTGGCCAACTATCATCATATTATTGCCAATAATTGATTGTGTGCTTGTTTGGCTAGAACTAAAGACCACATGGGAAAATGGGGGCTTCTTCCAAATGCCAAAGATATTTATTGCAATTATGGCACTATTCCAACAACTATCCATCTTTTACAATGTCCCCTGGGACAAATACACACACACAATGACTTGCAGATCAGAAATATCCCTTTCATCAATGTGACCCAGCTTTGGGCTAGAACTATATAAATTTATGTTTTTATTAATGTTTTTTAAATTTTTTAAAATTTAAATTAATACTTTCCCCCTTTCTAGTTCCTGCATTTATGACGCGAGAGAAGACTGCTAAGAAAATCACACCATCCATATAAGCACCAAACTCAAGGATGATTTTCTCTTTTTTATCACACTGTTGTTTTTTTCTTTTTTCTTTTAAATAGCCAGTCTTCTTTTGCATTTATTTTAGAATAATTGATTTATTGTTGACAATTTTATTTAAGGACATTCTGTCCGTTCACTTCTAAACCACTCTCGGCTCTTCCAAAAATAAAGAGCCTTATCAAACTAAAATTAGAGAGAATAAAATAGAAAGTTGAAAGAATGGCATACAAATAACCCTAACTGGCTTGGTGGAATCCTGTTTTAGAGGGCTAATTAATAGATCCCCATCTATGATTGGTTCTTTTTATCCGCTTGAATATTAATGTTTTAACTTTAAGGTCCCAATGCTTTAGTGTTTTTAATCTTTTATTTGTTTTAATATGTTATCATAGCACCGTAAACCACCCAGGAATTTGATAGTGAGATGGATGTCATACAAATTTAATGAATGAATATAACAAAAGCTTTGCTGCAAATTACCAGAAATTGTAGCCAAGTTTATTCCATTAAAAAAAAAAATCCATGAGTAGCCAATACTTTTCTTAGGAGCAACAAACTTGTTTAGGATCTCTCTCTATTTTCATCAAATAAGAGAAGGGGAAAAGCAATAAAAAATTGGAAGTTTCTGCTATCAGGAAGAGAACAGATTGGCTTAAACAGACTGGCGTTGACTCAGCTAGATGTCATTCAGCTTTTGATGTTTCATCAAGTAGGTGACTGAACATAACAAACATGACTCCTGAAAAGATCTGGAACTTTCCAAACCCAACTAATCTGACCCCAATAAAAGCATTGCCCAATTCTGGATATTGGATGCTTCTCAAGAATACAAATCTGGAAACTTTAGTATCTTATAGGCTGATCATTGTCTGTTGCAATAGTCTGATGCAACTATGCTACCAAAGACTTTTGTGACACTTAGCGATGACAGATTTCTGGACATTTTGTGGAGTGCATGGGGTAATGGGGCTCATTCTGATTTTTGTGGAGACATTTGCAAACATCGATGCTGTCCAAGGCTGTCCTTGGATTAAATGTCCTAAATATTAGAATAAATCCGAATGAGGAGCAACTCCTGAAAACTCTTCAGCTGTTTAATTTGGGCTTAGTGTTGTGACGTATTATTTTCTTCTCAGCCTGTGGTCAAAAGAGTCTTCCCAAAAGTCCTTGCTGTAAGTTAAGTGGTGGTGAAATGCCCATCTTCATGGGCAGAACTCCTGAAGAATAAAAAGTTAAAGGTGTCCCCATCATAGGGCAATGTGCTCATCTCCATTTCTTAGCCAAGGGAGCCAACATTGTCCAAAGACAATGTCCATTGCCAATGTAGCCATCACGGTTATTCCCCAAAGGCACACAGAACGCTGTTACCTACCCTTTGAAGTGCTACCTATTTATCTGCTCACATTTTGCTTGCTTGCTTTTTTTGGGTGGGTCAGCCTTTTTTTTTTTCTTGCACTCTTTTTTGAACTATTACCATGTGGCAGACGGTACAGGACAATAAAAGCAAGGACAAATAGGCTGAAAAACAGCTTCTGTCCCAGAGCAGTAGCTGTTGAATTCTACTATATAGTGCAATATTAATGCAATTCAGGGGTTTCCAATTCAATTGTGTAGAGTGCGATGCATGTGCTTGTGTTTTTATTGTTATAGTTTTAATGTAGACCGAAGATGGCATTTAATTTCATTGTAGGAGGTGCAATGCCAATAAAGTAAACTTTCGAACTTGCTAGGTGAGCAGGAATGACAGTGGGATCTTAAAACCCAGGCTGTCCGATCTCCGGCTGACAAAATCAGGGTCTTTGCAACATCCCCCTTGAGAAGAATAACCTTCTCAAAAACTCCAACTTTGGGCATTTTTTAGCCTGAAAAATCCACATTTGGTGCGATTTATCACACCTGTCTCTGCGCACAGAACACCACTGCTCCTTTGCACATGGTCAAATCTTCCTTAATTGGGTGTCCTCCAGAGGAAGTAAAGCCCTAAAACCAGAGACCCTATTTTTTGGCTGGGAAGCTTGGGAACTGTAGTCCTCATTTGGAAGGCTGGGCTGGAAACTCAACGCGGCAGCCCCTGCCTTCCTTCTGAGCATGTCCAGAAAGCCAAGCCCTTCCAGTCATTATAAACAACGCTGAAAGGCGGAAAAGTCACGCCAGCCTCCCGCCTCCCGGCTGGGAACGACGGGCATTGTAGTCGGGGAAAGCGGCTTCCGCCTTTTTGTTTTGTTTTGCCCCCCACCCCATCCTTGCAGCCGCTCAGCACGTGCTAGGCGCGGCGGGAGCTCCGCCCTCGCGAGGGGCGGGGCGCGCCCCCTCCCCTCGCGGGGGCGGCGTCACCCTCGCGGCGCCGCCCCCCCCCGGGTGGGCGTGACCGTCGCGCAGAGATGAGGTCAGGCGGCGCCGGCGCGGCGCGGCAGGAGGATGGTAGTTCCCGGCCGGCGGTGAGGTCGAGTGGAGTCGAGTCGCAGCGGGGTCGTTGGAGCAGCGGCGAGGCCGCCATGTCGAGCGGGGCGCCGGGCAGCTCCGTCTCCGACCCGCAGCACGCGGCGCGGCTGCTGCGGGCGTTGAGCTCCTTCCGGCAGGAGGGCCGCTTCTGCGACGCCAACCTGGTTCTGGACGGGCAGGAGATCCCGGTGCAGACCAACATCCTGGCCGCCGCCAGCCCCTACGTGCGGTGAGCGGAGCCCGGGCCCGGCGGGGAGGGGACCCTCCCGGTGGTTGCCGTTGCTGCTTCTATGGGCTTGGGGGGGGGCGGGCTTGGTCTGTTTCCCCTGTGTTGTTTCCCTGGGTCGTATAACATCTGCGGGCCTGGATTTGGGTTTGTTTTGCCCCGTTTATGCCGTGTCTATGGGGGGGGGGGGGGGTGACCCTTTGAGAGCTGAAGGCGGCGGGATTTCCTTTTAATGCCCGCCGATGAGTGTCCATTCAAAGTGACAATAAAGTTGATTCATCTCTCTCTATTTCTCTATCAGCTATTTATCTTTATCAATCATCTATCTCCACTTATGTCTATCTATCTATAATAGCTATCAGTTTATCTATCATTTTTATTCTCCATCTCTACGAATGGAATTCTTTTATTAAATAATTTTTATTAATTTTCCTTTTTTACATTGTAAAACATCACGGTATCAACAACGTTCTTGGCCTCTAGACATGATTTTGATTTAAATATCCTAATACATTATATTGCGTTTATCTACTATTAAATAATATCTGTAGGTATAATTACTATTCTTATATCTTTGTATAGTTTACAAAATTTTATTTCTACTTTCTTAAGGGTTGTTTCAATTAACATTTTTGTCTCCCTTCTTGGTTCTGTTTTTTTAGCCATTTATACCAATTGTTCCAAATTGTAAAAGAATTCAGAGATGAATAGAATTCTTTATTGGCCTTGTTGATTGGACACACAGGGAATTTGCCTTTGGTGCAGAAGCTCTCAGTGTATGTAAAGAAAAAATAAAATACATTCCTCAAGAATCATCAGGTGCAACACTTAATAACAGTCATAGGGTACAATAAACAAATCATACTAGGAAACTGAATATAAATCGTTAGGATACAAGCGACAAGGTTACAGTCATACAGTCACAAGTGGGAGGAGATGGGTGAAAGGAAGGATGGGAGGATTAATAGTAATAGTAATGCAGACTTTGTAGATAGTTTGACAGGGTTGAGGGAATTTGTTTAGCAGTGTGATGACGTTCGGGGGGAAACTGTCTTTATGTCTAGTCTCATTCCCTCTCTGTCTGTGTCTCTATCTCTATTTATATCTATTTACTTTTATCTAATAGCTATCAATTTAACTGTCATTCTCATTTCCTATCTATATTTTTCCTCACCTCTTGGTTGTGGTGTGGGGCAGCAGCTGGAAGGTCCCCTGAACTGTTGCAGAGCCCCTTCCTCTGAAGGAGCCCTTCTCAACCTCTGCCTTTCCTAGACAGGTAGATTGCAGGTCCCAGAATTGCCCCTTCCATCTTGATGGAAGTCTTTGCAATAATGCAAATTATTGCTAAATACATGCATTTAGTCCCTAACTAAATAAAGCCTTCTGGACATCTGGGCTGAGGTTGAGAAATGAGACTTTTAAGCCTGTCTCTTCTTGGTTTGTCTCTTCCATGCACTGCATTGCCTGGGTTTTCTGTCAGGAGTTGAAGGTAGCTTGTCTCCCTTGTTTCCTGCCACAACAACCCTGTGAGGGAGGCTTAGAGAAGGTTAAAAGCCTAAAGTCTGCCACCGAGTTTCTAATATTTTAGAAGACAGATTTCCAGCACTTTAACCAGCATCGCACTCTGGCTGTCACAGAATGCAATGAAAGGCTGTTTGTTTTTTGCTCCTCCTGCAAAATGGGATATTATTGCATATATTTTTCCATAATTTTTCCCCATAACCAGAAGATATGAAACATAGGACCCAAAATACAGCAAAATCAGGCAGAGTTAGAAGATAATGAATATGGGAGCAATAGGGTTAGGGTTATGTATAAAACGTTCACTGGCTCATTTGTTTAATATTAAATCTAGCTATATAGGCCATCTATTGCTCTATCTTCTCAGTTGTAATACAATAAGCTATTTTAGTTACAATGATAATTGTACAATGTGCCTAAATTCTTAATATTCTATTCATACTATATTCTATAGTCTTAGAGGATTAAATGGAAGCGAGTTTGTTTTTTTATTTATAAGTCATCTATAGCAGCCTATCTTATACACTAATCTTAGATGACTCACCACAGAGTCAATAAACAATGACATAAAAACATGTCATACCTTTCTCACCACGGTATCGTGCCAAACCTTGTTCCATTTCTACTGGCTCATCCCCATCAGGATATCTTGATGCAGATGTAACCCAGTGTGCTGAGAGGTTCAGAAATCTAGTCTTTTATGGCTGATCCCAAATTCAGTTCCCAAGGATCCACCATTCAAGATGAATGTAAATTACCCAATGGAGTAGTTGGTTCTTACACCTAGCAGAATGTGTGTAAGAACCAAATAGCCAGCTAGGCTGCCTGGAGCTCCTTGATAGTGGATTAAATAGCCATACGTTAAATTAGTAGCAAAGATGATGCAAGGGACAGGGTAAACCTTCTGTTTCTTTGTGATCCCTACCTGGCTTGTGATAGCCATAAAGAGATGTTGCAGAGATGCCAGCTTGGGAAAAATCAGTATTACTTTTATCATTCAGATTGCCTCCACACACACACACATTTTCTATAGGAGCTTGTGTTTGTTTAAATTCATTTAGGTTTGTGGGATGAGAGTTTTCAGTTAAATCGGCATGGTTTTTAAGGGTGCCAGAAGAGTAGCATCATAATACATTACTGGTAAACAGGCCAATCAGATATGTTTGAGAAACTCCCTGAGTGACTTGTTGGTAAATGAGAAGCGGGATTAAATGATCTTACTTCACGTCCTCCCACAGGATTTGCGGTGTTTCCAGTTGGTCAGTAAAGGCACCGGTGGTTAGAGAGACTGTGCCAGGATTTAGTTTTCCAGTTCAGATAATCTTTTATAACTATTATAAAAGGGTTGAGAGATGCCCAGCGAAGAAGCCTTCAACTCCCTAACAGGATTGGCATGATCTGGGTGTCAACAGAATGGCATTTGGGCAGGGGGATCCTGGAGAAGTCCTCTTCTTTGTGGAACACCCCTTTCATCTAGTTGTGATCCAGTTATCCTTTCAGGACAGATGGCTTCAGGGTGCAGCATTAATGTTGAAATCCAGGGATCAGTTAAAAGTTAGCCATTATTGGACATGGAGTGGAATAATCCTGTGACCTGCTTAAGCAGGCTATTTAGATATGCTGAGTAAGCTTTGGCTGAACTGGCAGCCTTACAGCAGGCCTTGGATTCTGTTTTTTTTTTTAACAAGTTCCTGCCTGTGATTGTGAAAGAGTTGCATGGCTTCTTGACAATTGTTGACAACATTTTTCCATGACTTGCCTGCTAGGTGGTGTCTGGCTTTGCATGTAACCTTCACTTGTTGAACTGTATGCCGAACAAGCCAGAACTGCTTGGCTTACTCACACTGCTAAACTATAAGAAATAATTTTGAAAGTAGGGTGGCTGAATCTATGCTTTCACAGATTTTTGAACCCAGCAAATAAGACAATCATTTTTGATGCTGGTGTAGCCTTTATATAATGTCTTAAATAATTCGCCTAAACTAGGAAGTTGTCTCTGAGCATGTGCAGAATCTCCTCCTCCCTGTAATGCTGCCCTGTCTCTTCTCATTGAAAAAGTAAGCCTATTATTGCCTCAGTTCTTCAACTAAGGAACTTAGTGAACTCAATGAGAAAGTATGAAGCCATGTCAGGGGAAAGAGATTGTTGAAATTAGCTTTCAGTTCATTTTGTATCTTAGCTTCTAATATGAAACTGATAGTTGCTCACCTGGCCATCTCTGTAGGACCGTTCATCCAGGCCTGATTAACATCAAGAAAATATTTATCTTGTGTGCCTTCAAACCATGAGATCAGACTAGCTCTAAGAACAACCAGATGAGAAGTCTCATATTGCTCAATTTAAAATTTGTAGCAAAGGTAAAATTATGTATGAGCAACCACATTATGGATTCTGAGGTTTTTTCTTTTTCTGTTCTTTTGATTTCTTTTTTACTTCTTGCTTGCCCAGCTAGTTACCAACCCCCCTTCTTTTCCTTTGTCCTGCCATTTCCTGCTTCTCTACATACATACTTCTCCAGCACAAGAAAGGCAATACCATAGATTAAAAAGTGTAAACAAACCTCTGGCTGCTCTCAGATAGATAATAGGAGATTCCTATGTTGATCTCTTTTCATGGGCAACCCTTCTGTTAATTGTCGGAGACCCTTAAAAACCAGTCCTTTCCTTGTGCTGTGAACAGAAGGAAATTGCTGGCTTCCTCATTAAGACAGGTAGGGTGAAGTTTAGAATATGCCTCTTGCATCTGGATGAATGGGTGGGGTGGTGGGAAAATTACTGACAAATTCAGATGTATCATTCATGCAGAAAGAGGGGGAGCTCCTGTTGTTTACCAAGACTTCAGTGGGTAATATTGGTAATTACAGCTATCAGCTCCTTTGTGAAAATCAAAAAGGCATTCTTCATGGTGAAGAAGAGTGATGAAACTGCTGACTGTCAGGTAATTAAAGAGGCCTTTCTGGGAGGATTTATGGTCTAGAAAGCATGTTAACACTGGGAATAGAGAATGGCAGTAAGCAACTGAGACAGGACTTTCACAATTGATTACATAAATATTTCTCAGATATGAAGCTGAAGATGTGTCACATATAATTTAAACGGTGTAGTTCTTTTTCCCTTCCTCTAGTCTAAATACATTATTTAAATATGCATTTTAAATAAAGCCACAGAACACTTCAGTCTAAAAGATGCCTGGGTATTTCAAGGTCCTTATTACAGGATACAATTAGAGTTTTCATAATGTTGTGACACCCTTGGAAAGAGAGCGGTGATTTATTATACTATTTCTTCCATGTGAAGACCTGGTTCTCCACTGTGTAGGATAAGTTCAAAAATCAAGGTAACTTGGAATAATGTGTGACTTTTACAAGCACTGTAATAAATATGTTAAACAGCAGTACAGCTGTCATTTCCCCACCTGGAGGTATGTAGATTAATCCTTTTTTATTAGTTTCCATATAAAATATGCTGAGATATGTGTGTGTG